TTCTTTTCAGACAAACACTGTTCATAATGATGTATTTAGCTGTACTACTTCTTCATTTTTTTTTGTTCTTTAAGTACTTGAGGCGTCAAGATAGCGGCAATCAGGGTCAAATTGCATCTGTTTTAATGAGAATATTGTATTTAGCGCATCATGAGGTAAAGTCACCGCGGAAAATGCTGACCGCCTTGTTTTTGAAATGATTAACAACCGTTTAGGATTGTTAGAAAAAAAAAACACTGACCAATTAAAAATTTAGTTAATGTGGGCGTAAAAAGGTTACTCAATAATTGAAGAAAAGAGCATTCAGTTTTACAAAAAAGATTGGATGAAATCTCTCAGCGAGCGAGGAGAGATCGCAAGTACTTCATTAAAAAAGGGAATATAAATCAAAGATCAAGATCGAGTTTAGTTGCGCGCTCGAATTATATTTTTTTCGGACAAGGGTAGTCGGGAAAAGTTAATTGTAGTGTACAATTTCCCGTCGAATTATCAATAGAAGAAATTGTGTAAATATATACTAGGCGAAGTGTCAAACCGTACGAGAAATTTAAAATCCTTTGAGTGCAGAATGGCAAACCTAAGTAAATGAAGACTTCCTTCGAAGGCAAAAATAAAGGAACTAACTGAACGCTTTCTCCATTACGTGATAAAATAATCATAACGAGATTTAATAAAACCCTATGAAGTGGCGAAGTTGTAACTAAACCGATGTCAATATTTTCAATAATAAATAAAGGTTTAGAACGCACCTGTCTGGGAGTGATTGGAGCCATGAAAACCAGGCCAACTTTGGCCATGGAGGCGACTGTGGGACTAAAGGCTGTGGAAGCAGATGCTCGAAAGGCTTTCATACGTCTAAATAAGGAAGCCTTGGGCACGTGCAGATCCGGGAGGAAACCCTCAGGTTCGATCCCCTCTTCGCAAGAAGAGATGTGATTCGGACTGTCTTACTAAGACCAAAGAGTTATAAAGTCACTCTTTCAGACAGGGGGCAGTGACTGAACTCAGATCGTCTGTTCCTCAAACCTGAGGGGCTCTTGTGGTCCACAAACTGGTCCCTAACGGAAAGGGGAACGGACATATGTTGAATTGTTTCCTCCGTTGTCAGGTACAAGATTAAGGATTGGGTGACCAGTCAATTCCTGGCTCAGTGGCAATAAGTTATCGGGTCCCTTGGCAAATCTGGGTCTTCTACATTTCTAAAACTGAATATTCACCAAATTCGTGCCTTGGACGAATCTAATAATAATACTCTCTGGATTCATTCTGTAGCGCAAGTAATGCGGCAGTAACGGCGCCCATTTCCTCCTCTTGTATATAGAGGGTGTCTTAAATTGAGTAGGATAACATGACTATTTTGGTTATTATTATATTTACAGATTCGATTAAATTGGCAAAGTTATGTAGTTTTTAATGTTGATACATAGATACTCCGATGCAATATTTTAAAAAAAATTTTCGTATCGTGGATAATTGGAAAAAAGTAAAAATCGCCATTTTTAAAAAAGTTAAAAAAAAGTTTCAAATAAAAGTTTGCAAGATTCTTTGGGATAAATTATATAGATAAAAAAATTTGTTTCAAAATGGGGGTTTTCAAAATACTTAACATCAACTTCCTTATTTTAAATGGACGCCATAATGGATTTTTACTCAGTTTGATACAGTTTTTTTTTCTCTTTCCAACCATGTATAGGTAACAAAATTATCATTCATATAATAAACATGGCTAAAATTACAATTTTCATTTTTTCTTCATAGTTTGAGTAATTAATAAAGCCCTCTTTGACGAACGCCCTGAAGTCCTGAAGTGCGGAAAACTGATTTTTCGGAGAACAAAACGGTTTTTCGGGTGCAGATCGAAGGAAAAGTGGCTCGAAAAGTGGTAATGGTAAAATGAGTATCACGAGATGCCGTAAACTTGGGACTTGTTTCGCATGCGCGTGAGAAATGTCATCAAATCAACCAGAATGTGGGAGGAGGGGGGAGACTTTTGGCCCAAACGTAACAGAGGAGTCTAAAAAATGACCGAGCAACTGGGAACGTCGCTCCTGAGGGATTATTCGTGATTTTCTTAAATTTACATGAATCATTTGTTATTTTATTTACTGAGTATACCTTATAAATTTCTTCTTTACTGCGCCTGAGTTGCTTTGGGAGTTTTCTCGTGACACATTCATATAATTGTTTACTTGTGGTTATGGAGGTTTGGTGGTTCCTTACTGAATGGTACCTGGGATTTTTGCTGTAAAGAAAAGAAAGGTTTAAAATAATAGGAAAGAAGTACCTATTAATAGACAAAAGGATCTAATAATGAAAAGAAAATTCAAGGTGGAGTGGAACTCGTGAATTTGGAGACACAAAGCCATGGGGGGAAAATGGTGACATGGAAGAATCCGAAGAAAAGAAAAAGAATCCCTATGATATAATGATCATAAGAAACGTATTATGCCTCCCCGGACATTGATCTTAGTAATATTTTGCATCATTTTACTAGTGTTCATTCTTTTTGTACTTTACTGTACTGTCGTAATTTAGTGTAATGGACGTTGATTGTCAGGGTAAAAGCTATCAGATCTTTTTTGTAACACCTAGGAAATTTTGCTGGTTGATACTTAGAAAGAAGATTTTATTACATATGTTAGTCGTATGCATGCAGAAAAATAACTGATTTGTTGGTTTCGAAGTCTACAAGATGAAATGATGAATAAATAAAGATACGTGGCGAGTGGAAATTTTTTCCACATCGAGAAAGGCGAAATTATATGTCCGAAAGTATCCGATACAAAATGTGTAACATCGCGTTACACGGCTATATCGGTTTTCGCAAGTTCTATAAAAGTCACAGCTTTATCCTGCACTAAAAGGACGTAAAATAGATGGGATGAACTCGGCCGGTAAATATATAATTTATTGCAATGTGCTGACCCGGTGGAAATCTCATTGGTGGCCGTAGATTCATGTCTCACTTATCTGAAGACCCCAGTCCAGATTTGACCCCCGTAAAACTTAGATAGAACTAGAACATTATCTGCCGATGTAGTATCCTCCTATTGGATAAAAGAATAAGACTCGAGGGATGCATTTAGTTTTTATGTGCACATAAATGCTCGAATTATACCTAATCATTCATTTAAGAATTATACACGTAGGGTACTTAACCCTCTCGTATTTTATACCCGCACTTACTTCAAAACCAAAGCATGTTAATAATAGAAGCGGACGTTAAACGTATACCGCATAAAGTAAACCTGGGAAACTAATTTCCAATAATTATTTTATAAAATCCTTTCTCTCTCTCTCGATGCGAAATGGTGGGTTCCATCGAACCGGAGAAAAGCAGAACGTAATACGAAAGTCTTTAAGCTTTTTGTTAGGGGAAAAAATCAATATGAAGGTTTTAGTGTTATATAAAAACTCTTATGAAACTTTAATGCTTGCTTTTGCCCGAAAATTCGTTCTTAGCAAAAAAATACACGCTCACCAAGAAAAACGTAAAGGTAATCTTTAATCATATTTTTCTGCATTATAAAAAGCGCTGGTACCTAATTGGGATAGGTATAGAATTTTGCAAATTACACAGGGGGAACGTTTCAAAGATAAAGGAATTGAATGAAAACGTCAAGGTGAAAGGGACTTATTTCCATATTTATTTTTGGCATTAGCTTAGCTTTAAGAGACCCTTTTAAAACTTTAATCACGCAGCTTAGCTATATTTATATGTAAATTTTACATTGCTGAGTACTTTATTTGAGACAAACGTAGATATCAAGGAGAGGCTCCTGTAACCAATAAGATCCCATAAATTTCTAGTAGAAGATTTATAATAAAATTTTCTAGGCAGATTTCGGAAACCTCTACGATGACCTTCAAGAACACTCCATAAGGAAAAAGGTCACAATCTTTGTCTTCAAAATTTTACACAACTTGTTATACTCTTCCGAATTACTTCAAGAAATTAAGCTTAAGGTACCATTTGTTAAGCTGAGGCAAAATAATACTATTTTTGTAGTTAACAACACAACTTCCCCACTTATTAAGATCTTGATCACTTTAAATAAGTTATCCTCAGTTAATGATATCGACTTTTTTCACGATCCCCTAAATTCAATAATAAATAAAATTAGATCTTAAGCCCTAATATTTGTTCAGAACCCCAGTGCCATGTAATTGGAATTTTTATTCTGTATGGTTTCTGGTTAAATAAATAAATAAATAAATAAATAAATAAATAAGGGTGTGAAGCACTGAGGAGGTTTCTAAAGGGGTTGTTGGAAATACGAGTACCTTTAAGATTATTCCTAGACAGAGACGGCAGCAAAAGGGGCAATTCAACTTCTAAGAAGACCTCAAAGAAGCTTTCTAGTAGAACTTCTGAGAAGAAAATTCTGGAATAGTATGCATTTCTAATTTTTGTTAAAATGTTCATATAACTATTCTGTATCTGTATGGTTAGACATATAGACGAGCATATAGACCTATCAAAGATTTATGTTTAAGAGTATTTTCCGGAAGGCATCTTAAAGTTAAACAAATCCTTATATTTTAACAGGGAGCTACGAATATTTGCATCTCATAATTATAAAAATAAACTAATATTTAATTTCCAAGCGTGTTTTTAATCCACCCCTAGTAGAATTCCTTGTAAGTTAATATTTGTAAAATTGTAATACCTACTTCTTGAAGAGACTTAATTAAATCACGTACAGAAAGTGCCTTTCCATTTCATTTTATTGCACAAGCAATAAGGATATATTGAAGTAAAAAGGGACGATACTTTCGTCTAATGCAATATAAATAATATCCCCCCCGAATCGAAATGGAAATCTGATTACACAAAAGATAAGATGTATCGGCGGAATAGCGTTCCTGTTATTCTTATTGTGAGCCCTTTTCGAAGACCCATGTGAAGTAAAACGAGGCTAATTGGGTTGTCTGTTGTACAAGCTCGTAACCAGCGCCATTTCAGACAAAAAATTAAGTATATGTCACTACGATACACGTTTAGGAAAAAAAACGTTCGCTTTTATTTCGCAAACTTTTTATATCAAAATATTACAATTAACTAGATTTCTATTTCGGATCTTATTGCTGGTACTGCTGGTAGATCAGCCGTGGACTTTGTCCCCCGTATTGCGGCTCGTTCTCCTGAAATTATTACAAAAGTAGGTACTCCCACGTCTTACGATAATACCTGTAGGTATTGCTGTTTGGGTTGCGCTTGTAACGGCTTGGGAAATTTGACCACGATGTTAGTTGGCTGCCTGTTGACCTATACAGAAATTCAAATTCGCTTTAATCGATGATGATTCGATCGATTTTTACCTCGGCTTTGAAACCTTCCTTAGGATCAGCCGTATACGTAACAGTTCTCAGGAAGCCATCGGCATCAACGACGGAATAACTTCCGGATATCTTATTGCCGTCTCTTTGCTCTTTGCGGTTTTGATAGTTCGTGTAGTAATCGTCCTTGACATCGAAACCAAATTGGTACGAAGGATTCGGCTGCAACAAGATCAAGCAATAGTATCAAATAAAAAAAACTTCCATTATATAAAAAGAGCAGTGAAAGTGCAAGTACGACGGGTTATTGCCTTTAAACTACCTTTCACATTTCAATAGCAGGTAATTGCAGTGCATGAGGTACAACGTGTACATGGAAATTGTATTTATCTGTTAGCAACAACCAATTTATGGGATTGAACATTTCTTAAATGAAAGAGAGTTTAAATAATACTTCCGATTTATGATAATTTGCCCTCTATAAATCTATATTGCCACCATTCTACTATTATTGCTAACCAATCGGATGCTAAGAATGGAAACCATCCCTACGTATTGTTCCTTATTTTGCCAGAATTTGCCAAATGTAGATCGCCCTTCCTTTCAAAATTAATTAAATAATGTCTAAGTCATGAATCCGAATAATTTCACGACAAACGTTAAACTGGTAAAATCGATTCAAAAATTCACCACCAGAGTAGCGGTTCTAAACAAACTAACGTCCCCGAAATATTCACCCCCTAAAAATTGGCGCACGGTTAATATTAGTTCCCCATTTGACTAGGAACTATTCACCCCAGATACATTGATTCTTCAATCATTCACATGCGCCATATTCATTTTCGCAAAATCCATGCGATATTCAGAATATCCGTAAAAAACCACTCCGACTGTTCCAATGGGAAAAGGGAACTCATCTCTCAAAGGTACGATCGCGAAAGCGCGACCTTGCCCCCAGGAAACTCCCTCCAAAAAACTTTTCCTCGTGGAAAAGTTTTCTAAAGGAACCCGCCCATCTAGTGGCGAACGTGATAGGACTATTTAAAAAAATGCTAAAAAAGTAGGAAATCTTCGCGGTCTGTTTTAATAATAATAATAATTTATTGTCCAAACAGACTATCTAGTCTAAATACAGGACAAATTTAAATATATTGTTCAATAAAAGCCGCACAGAAATATAGAAAAATTAACAAAAATTGAAAAAAAAAATAATTATAATGATAGATTTATAACTAAAGCGAAAGAAAATTGTTAACAGAGTTATACAATAAACAAAATAAAGTCATAAATCAAAATACAATATTGGTAAATAAGAGAAATTGTATTAGTGCAAGGGCAAAAGCAAAAAAAAAGACAAAAATTATTGGATCATACTTATAAGGAATTTTAAATTAGTGTTAAAAATATCAACAGTATCGCATACCGAGTTATAATCATGACCTACACCTGTTATTTGTCGACACACGTAAAAGGTCTCGGGCTACTAGGAGAACATAATATACGAATAGGTCTTTTTCTAGCTCTGTCAGAATTATTTCAAAGATTTCATTCGATTTAAAAATTTGCCAATTCTGTATCAGGAACATATGAGTGCGAGAAGGTGTTTCTTTTCCTAATACTACACCTGTTACTTGTCGACAAGCTTATGTAAAAGGTGTCGTGCTACTAGGAGAACATAATGTACGGGGAGGTCATTTTCTAGCTCTGTCAGAATTACTTCATAGCTTTCATTCGATTTAAAAACTTGCCAATTCTATATCAGGATCATATGGGTGTGAGAAGGTGTTTCTTTTCCTAATACTACACCTGTTACTTGTCGACAAACTTATGTAAAGCTGCGCTACTAGGAGAACATAATGTACGAAGAGGTCTTTTTCTAGCTCTGTCAGAATCATTTCATAGCTTTCATTCGATTTAAAAACTTGCCAATTCTGTATCAGGATCATATGAGTGCGAGGAGGTGTTTCTTTTCCTAATACTACACCTGTTACTTGTCTACAAACTTATGTAAAAGGTGTCGTGCTACTAGGAGAACATAATGCACGAAGAGGTTTTTCAATCTCTGTCAGAATTATTTCAAAGCTTTCATTGGATTTAAAAATTTGCCATTCTGTATCAGGATCATATGATGTGCGAGGAGGTGTTTCTTTTCCTAATACCACACGACTATAACTTGTGATTGAGAAGTCTGATCGAAAAAGTACGAATTGATTTGGATTCTAAGCACCCAAATTAATAAGAAAAAGTGTTTTCCCGAGAAATTTTGGTGTAGTCGATTTTTGGTAAGAAAAGAAGGTTATACACTGCCTTTTTTTGAGCCCCGAAAAAAAAATTGTCTCAGATCGACTCCGAAAAAACATTTCTTATAGAATGTGGCCTGTAGAATCCATAATTTCAAACAGTTCCCAGATTGGGCTACTAGTTCAAAAGTTACAGCCCTTTGAATTTTTTTTCGAAATTGGTTTCTAGTCTATAACTTTTGATTGAGAAGTCTGATCAAAAAAGTACGAATTGATTTGGATTCTACGCACCCAAATTAATAAGAAAAAGTGTTTCCCGAGAAATTTTGGTGTAGTCGATTTTTGGTAAAAAAGGAAGGTTATACACTGCCTTTTTTGAGCCCCGAAAAAAAAATTGTCTCAGATCGACCCGGGAAAAAAAATTTCTTATAGAATGTGGCCTGTAGAATCCATAATTTCAAACAGTTCCAAGATTGGGCTACTAGTTCAAAAGTTACAGCCCTTTGAATTTGTTTTCGAAATTGGTTTCTAGTCTATAACTTTTGATTGAGAAGTCTGATCGAAAAAGTACGAATTGATTTGGATTCTACGCACTCAAATTAATAAGAAAAAGTGTTTTCCCGAGAAATTTTGGTGTAGTCGATTTTTGGTAAAAAAGGAAGGTTATACACTGCCTTTTTTGGGCCCCGAAAAAAAAATTGTCTCAGATCGACCCGGAAAAAAATTTTTCTTATAGAATGTGGCCTGTAGAATCCATAATTTCAAACAGTTCCAAGATTGGGCCACTAGTTCAAAAGTTACAGCCCTTTTTTTTCGAAATTGGTTTCTAGTCTATAACTTTTGATTGAGAAGTCTGATCGAAAAAGTACGAATTGATTTGGATTCTACGCACCCAAATTAATAAGAAAAAGTGTTTTCCCGAAAAATTTTGGTGTAGTCGATTTTTGGTAAAAAATGAAGGTTATACACTGCCTTTTTTTGGGTCCCGAAAAAAAAATTGTCTCAGATCGACCCAGAAAAAAATTTTTCTTATAGAATGTGGCCTGTAGGATCCATAATTTCAAACAGTTCCAAGATTTGGCTACTAGGTAGTTCAAAAGTTACAGCCCTTTGCATTTTTTTCTAAATTGGTTTCTAGTCTATAACATTCATGACACATTCGATAAATTGGGGAATTTTGTAAGAGATTTGTTCTGCAATAGGGTAATTTAAAAGTTAGGAAATGCCTGGAGGAAGAACGAGACACAGAGAAATTTAAATAAATGTGTAATGTGACACAACCAATTTCATTCCATAATAATTTGTACAAGAACGACACACTTATTCTTTTACGTCTGCTTCTCAAGGGTAAAAGACTTAATCTTTCTAGCAGTAGACTTTGCGGGTAGCCTCTTGTAGGGTAGTATCCATCACAGCGAAATGATAGATATTTTAAAAGACGACGTTGTATACGTTCTAGGTAGTCTTCGTGCTTTTCAAATGCTGGGTTCCATATACTAGTACACCATATTCAAGCTTGCTTCGTACAAATGTAGAAAAAAGTAGTATAATAGTTGACAAATTTGCAAAATCTGAACCAATGCGTATAATAAAACCTAAGGTTTTAAAAGATTGCCTAACAGTTGTATCAATGTGTAAGCTAAATGTTAGCATATGTTATCGAACAGAACCCCTAAATCTTTTGTTTGAGTGTCTCTTTTTAAGAGTGTATTTTGAATTTGATAATTGTATCGGATTAATTCCGTGTCGGGCTCTTTCGCCAAAATATGAAAATACTCATGCAGTTTTTAGACAACATGCTTTAAAAAAAATTATCGGTAATTTAGATGCACTTGTGAAATTACATACGAAAACTGTAAAAGAAAGTGGTGTAAAGGAACAATAAACGGTTAAAAATTGAAATGGTGAAACGAATAAAAAGAACTCAAAAAAAAGTGCATACAAAAGTAGGTAATCAAATTTGGTAGTTTGATAGGAAGACTTAATGCAAGTAAAGAGGAAGGAGGAGATACTCTAAGAGTATGATCGAAGTTTCTGAAGATACAGAAATAAGTGTTTATGGTACAGAAAAATTTTGATGGGAGGAAATTAATTAATTGCAAAAATTTCACAAAAAAGGGTGTAAACGAAACGCCGACTGTTACGGTTAGTTTGGCCTGGCCGAGACGAGACTAAAGCTAAAATTCCATTATCACGTAAATGCATTAATCTACAAGGGCTACAAACACAATGAGAATGTCGAAAATATAGCTAAGGCGAGATGGTTTTGAGACAAGTCGTGCTAGAGTCCTCATTGCAGGCAATAGTCCATGCATTTTCATGTCTGTAATTTGTCTGTATTTTGTATTTTAAAAGAGTGCTTCTCACACAAAAAGCACTTGGGTATAAGTATATCCTCAGGCATGCCAAGTGGAAAGTATCACGTAAGTGCACGATTTGCCAGTATGTTTAGTGGGATTTGATAATTCGCCACTTCATAGATGCTGAATTTTCGCAGTAAAATGTTAGAAATATGGGACTGCTTATTCAATTTTGTGCTGTTAGGTCTCCATTATAAGCAAATTTATATTGGGTCATTTTCTTTCACCAACATAAAAACAGACGCAAGTAGAATTTCAGATTGAACTAAGCTGTCGATGAAGCTCCAGCACCCACACAAAAACTGAGAATGTTAATTAATGTATTTATACACTAAACTTGCAAACTCTTCTTCCACAAGTTTCGGGCATCGACCGCAAACGCAGATAACAATCTGTTTCGCAACATTATGGCGATGGCCTGCATTTTCTAGAAACCTAATTGACCCCACGGTGACGGCGGAACACTACGTGCAAATGCAGCTGCTGGACATTGAACTAATCTCACTGCGAGAGTAAAAGTTGTTTATTGCATGAGGAAATCATATGAATTGGGAAACGCAAGTTTATTATCGGAAATACTGAATAAAGCAGTGCGGTTGTAGAGAAATGTCTGTAAGGCATTTCGGAAATTGTACCAAACATGTTTTTTTTTAATTCGTAGGTCACGGTTAATCCTTACGACGCATTAAACATCTCTCAATTTCTTTTAAAAAAAGGATCTCAAAATTCCCTAATAACTTGTGGGATACGCGATTTATTTGTAACTCTTTTGGTCTTCTCGTACTATTCGCGGTGATCGTTCAAAACCAGATTTTCCGAAAACTGCAGGGGTACAATGAAAACGTATTGATACAACAAGAATGAGTGTGAATCATCTATTTTGGTAAAAGACAGTCATTGCATGAAAAACACTATCGTAATGCAGTCATCTTAAATTAAAAAGATGTGCGATGGCGATGCCCAACTCCATGCGAACGGATCATCAACAACAATCGATCTCATCAACGGTTGATCGATCAGGATCGTATCCGGATTGGCAACCGGTGCAGCAAAGGCAAATGCGAGCAGTGCGCAAATGACAAACTGAAATTGTACACGTTTGAAAAATGATTAAAGAAATTCTGGCAACTTACCAATTTGAAGATCATCTTGTAGGTTTTTTGGAAAGTGCGGCGACTCTGAATGCTTACAGTTTGAAAACAGTCGGTTTATATACACGATGATAATCTCTAATTGGAGGTTACCCAATGATGCAATTCAAAGCGATTATTAACTCATTACAATGGTATCTTAATTTCGGAGATAAAACTAATTAGAACAACAGAAAGTAGATAATGACCAAAATCACCTTGGTAATGTCAAACAAACTAAGACAGGGTAAGGAATCAAGGGATGTACTTTTCATTGCGAAATCACGACTTACCATTGGTAAAAATTTTATTTAAATTATAGTTATTAATTATTGGATTTTATCCAAATAAATTCCATACATAGTACGTGTAAACCATTTTTATATACAGGGTGTAAAAGACCAAAACATGCCATTTTACAATTAAATCGATGATCGTTTCGAAACCCCGCAAACGTCCTGAAATTGGCGTTTTATCCTCAATTTTTTCTTAGGGATACAGCAGAATACAGAAGGACGGAACTTGCGGATTTAACTGAACATATTCCCAAAATTCGTACTACAAGATGGTGTACCCCTAAACGAAGGTGAGAGCGGAAATCTCATCTGCGTCTTTCAGAAAACGAAAAATTCAGCTGCACCAAGAGACCACAATGAACCATAAACTTCTCGTGGTGCCTTGGTATGTTGGACTCAGGTTTGGTACTACAACGTTCACAAGACTTCCAGGGTTTATGGTCAGAGATTGTCAAGGTTTCATGGAATTTTGTGACTACACTCAGATTCTTCATACAATGAATCAAATGTGGTCTGCTTTACCACCAGGATGCAGCTAGTGATATCGGAGAGCAAGAAATTTGAAGTTCTACGACAAATAATGCACGATGGTATATCGGAAGGCCATCTAGGAGTGACTAAAACCCTGGTTAAGGTGCGGGAACGATTTTAGTGGGTGAATTGGAAACAAGATATGAAGGATTGGTGCAGAAAATGTCCAGTTTGTGTCACAAGCAACGGGCTAACAGGAAAGAAGAAACCACAAATGAGAAAATACAATGCGAGTAGTCCATTTGAAGGAATTGCCATTGTTATTGCAGGTTCCTTCCCCCCTTGTTGCCCATTGACTATTTCAGCAAATGGGCAGAAGCATATGCGCGACAAGAAGCGGCAACTGTGGCAGAGATTTTGGTAAATGATCTTTTTATCAGAATTTGAATTGAGGATATATTTTGTTAAATGATCCTTTGAATGTACCTTTTGGGAAGCAGTATAATAGATGGCCCCATCTATTGTTGGAATTTGAACCACGCAATTTTAACGTGCATTTTGCTGGTGCGTTTGTTGTCAACCTTCGTCTTTCTCTTTCCTTTGTGAGTCATGACAGAGTGCACCTGTGTTAGAAGCTTACTACGAGTAAAGCGAAGCCCTTCAGGCATTATTCAATTCATTATATTCCGAGTTCTGCGGCGTGGGGAGTTTCTTTTCATTATTTGCAGGTTGACGGATCCGAGAACTGAGCTCATTTCTTGGCGTTAACGTCTCATTTAAATTAAGCTCTTATTTTGTGTTTAACACTGAGCTAATTGGCCGTTTATGAGGCGGGTTTAAGGAAACGCAGCGCCAACTCTATTTAAAAGATTAATTAATTGGTCAAAATTTAATACCAGCGCAGCGGAATTATAATTCTATTTCTGTGCATAAGTAATCACGACTTCGGGTATTACTTTCGCAAAACTGAAGCTGGTTTTGGTTGGATTTGCAATAGGGACGTATGGACATTTCTGTTTGGCAGAAGTTAAGAAGGTTAAAGTTACCAGGGTGATGCAGGAAGTGCACATTTTACCCATCTCAATTATTGTAAGCTACATTAATTTTTTTGTGATGTATAAAAATAGTGGTTTATTATTTTTAGGAATTTTCATAAAAAATCTTGGTTTGAAGTAATTTTGATATTCCTAAAGAAACCGACGTTTGAGAATTATTTGTAATGATTTAATTTTTAAAGAGTATTTGATTTATTGAATAAGATTTAAGTTAGAAGGAGGTACATCAGGCGAAAGACCAAAAGCAGTCGAAGCCTTTATCACTGAAAAAAAAAGGTTTTGTATGATATTTACTGATATGAATCAAACCTGAGTAAGTGATTTTGCTTCATTTATTGTTAATTTTGCATTGAATTTCATTGAGAAGGGGTTATATATTTTTAAACAGAAAAAATTGCCGGTAATTCATTATGGTAAAATAAAGTATTTAGATAGGGATCATATTTAGCGTGGACGAAATCACGCGATTTTCCTTTGGAATTTCTTTTTATGAATCCAGCTAATATTTTACATCTAGAAGCGTGTAAAAGAAAATGGAATTTGATATAGGTTTTGCTTTACTTAATATATTTAACCAACTAGATCATTTATTTATTGGTACTCAATCAAACCAGAGTATTAGCCAAACTTTCGGGTTTAAAAACTAATTGTATTACTGAGCTAGCGTTGGATAAATTGAAAATTGAATTGTAACTTGTTCGTTACAGCATCTGTAGTGGAACATTGAACTTTTTTCACAATTTTTCAATGAAATGGCCGCTAAAGCAATGACATTTTAGTTGAAGACCTCGTGATGTGCGGTAAAGCATTACTTTTTTTTTCGTGTACATTCAATTTAACAATTCACCATTCATATAAATTTTTATTTTTTCTCGAGTTTGTTTGGATAAATTCGCCCTTCGAGTATTGGCTGCCAAGAGAAGTAAACTTCTATTCGAATTACTCTCCCCTGCATAATTCCCCCTTTAAAGTTCCATGGGACATTTGCTTACGCTGGAATTTTTTGCGTCGGGAACCTTTTCCAAAGGAAATGAACGTTCAGAACCCAACGGATCGGCACATAGAAGATTCACTATTGTACTCATTGCTAATTAGTGACATCTTTCGCCACGGGTAAATTCGCGCCCCCAACTAATTGGAAGTAGTGATTTTACTTTTCGGTAGTACATGGTGATAATTATGATAAAATTCCTGTGGGCGAATATTGCGAGGGTTAATCTTTTCTAATCATTGGTTCATGGGTAGAATCGAGAATAACGTATGAAGATGATTTGTAGAGAAACAAGAGTTCGCTAAAAGTTATAGCGCTAGGTCTTGAAATTCCTAAAACTGGTACAGCGTACAGAAATTACTTACATCATAATCCTCCGGAGCTTGTGGCTGAGCTTGAACCTCCTGAGGTTGAGGTCGGTTATCCAAGAGCTTAGCTTGCGTTTGCTGCTGCGCAAGTTGCGGCTGGAATTGTCTCAATCTCAAAGCGGTGAGGTGAGCTCTTCTTTGCGCTATGTCTTGTGCCTGATTTGCCAGACCCTGCAGTTGTACGTTCTGAACTTGTTGCGCATAATGGGGCCCGGCTACGTAAGCGGCCGCCTGCTGTACCTGAAAGGAAAACATCTTATGAGCATTTTTCTTTCTCTGGACGCACATGTTGTTTCTTTATCATTGATTTTTTTGTACTACAAATTTAAAGTGTAAAGCATTTTGTATACTCTCAAAAAGAAAAATTGCACTGGTACCAATAGACTAAACCGTCGCGGTTGGTTTCTCTTTCTCTCTTTCTGTATGGTACTTTTTGATTTTTTTACAACAAACGTATATTAAAGTGTTAGGGATGATACAGTTTATTTACAGTAATTAATTAAAATGTACATAGCAACATGGAGTTTATACAAATAAGACAAAACAAGGTTTTTTAATTAGCGCGGATGTTCATTTAAACTTAAAACTACGCAGTCTGTTCATAGACTCACGTGCATAATATTGCATCGTTTGCGGTTAAAAATGGCGAGATAAATACGTACATAGACTACAATTTAAATTGGATTCCTTTATTATTAAATGTATGTATAAGACAACTGCTGCTGTAATTGAAATTGCGCCATGCAAGCGTAAGGCAACGTGTTATGCGCAATATTAAATGTAAAAAGGGAAACATGTGAAGAATTTACATGTTAATGTTCCTTTGAAACGTTTCCCGGACCTGTTAGATGTTCTGCTGACAAAGAAAAAGGTGCGTGCTCGGATGCTTTTTGTTGAAATATTACTTAATATTGTTCAAAAAATTCATTATTACAGTAACGTGCCTTACAAATGATGGTTGACCTGGGTTTTACACTGCTTTTTTTAGTTGAGTTCGTGTTTTAGGTACATATTACTTCGTCAATTAGCAATGTGGTAATGGAATGCATTCCTTTATTTTTAAGTTCTTGGTGAGAAGATTTTAATTATGGTTTTTGTCAATGAAGCTTTAGTTGAAAACTCTCCATAAAGCAGCATTCCAAGATGAATCAATACAGTTCGATGAATTAAAAAAGTGAATATCTTGAGCGGATCTGGTTTCTGCATTTTGGATCTTTCACTAATATTTTCACGTGACGCACGTTTATCGAGTAGCAAATTAATACATTGAAAAGATGCGGGGTAATATGTCCAAATAGCCTTTGTAAGCCTTTCTTTATTTCAGGGATTTATATTTAATTTTTTCGTGTGTTTCAGAATAAATTTTGTCATTGTCAATTATCGGTTAGGTGTTTATTTGAATCCATTGTGCGACCCGAATAGAGTTTTCAATTCGTGTCCAAGATTTATTTCAGGCGGTTATTCAAATTTGTGTAATAAATTCAGTGGAATTTTCGGAAGTTGATCGAGGCCACCGAGTCTCTCAAAATGAGAAATTTTAAGTTAATATTAGGATTTCCCTTAGGATATGCCGGATGCGTACGAGTTATTTCAAATAAAATAGTTTTAATTTTATACCAGAAATTGAATTAACGTGATTCTAAATAGGGTGTCCTAATTTTTACTCATTATGTTTATAATCTGATTCGTGAGAATATTCCTAAACGGGTTACAAAGCTTTCTAGTAAAGATGCGTTACTACAAAAGTTTTGAATGTTATTTCGAAAATTTCTAATTAGTCCTTAAAAATGTCCACCTAAAAGGATTGTACCTAATGGTAGCTCTAAATTAGCGTTCTTGCGAAATTCCTTTGTAGGCTTCTTTGGGCTTCTAGTAGAAAAATTTGAGCATTGCATAATGCATATCATAAAGATTTCACAAAGTATCAACATTTAGGGAGTTGAATTAGTTTTCCAAACAAATCATATTCATTCATCATCATCATATTCTCATTCAGAGTACACAAAAATGTTTTTCAGAAGGAATTTTTAAGAAATGTTTCCTAGTACATAAGGATGGAAAAATGGTAACTAAAGCTGTCGACAGTTCCAACAATAAACTTATTTCAATCGGTCTCATTGTGAGAGACGTCTTTGAAATCATTTTTGGAACTGTGTTCACTAAGGAGTTTCTCCAATTATATACAAGCCAAGTCACATATTTGTTGGACCAAAACAAATATGCCATTTTCTGAATTAGAATTTATTGTACTAACAAAGTTTATTAAACGGAGAGTACGCAAATTACGTTCTTAGAAGTTGAAATTCCATTTACCAGTAAGTGATAAGTCCAAGAGATCCCGTAATTTCATTATTTCATTCAGACAAATTCTAGGGTCCTTTGATTGCCAAATTTGCTTGTAAAAATTTGAATAAAAAAGCTGTGTATCAATGTAAAAATTGTGTTAAATTTTTGGGTTTAGCTTATTTTTCATTAAAAAATGGAATGGCATTTTCAATTGAGATTAAGTTAAAGGTTCTACCAAAAAGTGTACGTATTGTAAAAATTCATTGTACTAAAGGAAAGTGCACGTCGAGGTGCACGTGGAAAACATTTGGAAATAAAATTACTATCAATATACATTTATATGGCCATTTAATATAGGTACTTCTTTTTGCTGTTGAGGTGGAAAAGAGTTGGATAATTTTATAGTAATTTTCAGATAAGCAAAGGGAAAATTGTGCAATAAGCAAAAACCACAAAAAAGGGGATCCCTAATAAGTGAAACGAAAAGAGAATTACCCGATGAAATTGAACTTTGGCATAATTTGCATCGCACCCTAAGGGCGTTGTCATTTGATCTTAAATAAAACTACTCAGTTACTTTATCTTCATAGTACTACTTTGTAATAGATGAGTCTCCCAAGAAACCAGTACACGAAAAATTCGGATTCAGCTTGAAAATTTTAGGATTTTTTTCACAAACAAATAAAAAACGAATTACCTTAATAAAGTATAAATCGAATGGGTTTTGAATGTGTTACCAATTTGGCTTTCTTTATTTAGGTACACATTCAATATGTTAAAAAAGTTTATAATACAGAATGAATAAAACATTTGTAACTTCGCGTTTAGCATAAAATCGATGAAAGCGTAAGTGTAGCGCGAACCATTTTCCTCTTCCAAAATGCCGGAACAACCAAAGTTGCTTTGAGGTAATCTTCGAAAGAGCCCGCCCGACCACAAAGCGACCAAATTTAATTGTATTAATTCGAAATAACAACAAAATTAATTTACCGAAGTACACAGTTTTCACCACACAATTTGTAAACCGAAGGCATCGCCTTAAATCGCGCATTAAATCGATGAAAACGCTCATTTATTTGAAAAGTTTTCGCTGTTTTAATACCGTTTAAATTCTAGCGAAGTTTCAATCCATTAGTGGAAAATCCACGTCCAACAAAAAAGCCCAAATCGTATATCACGCCGGTGTTTTATTCATTAACGGTAAACTAAATATGGTTTAATGAAAGGCACCTGCTATATTCGCAAGCAATTAACCAATTGAAATTGTTACATATACTCGTGCATATTCATTTGTCTCGATCAGCTTTGAATTGCAAACCACTTGTACAAATAATGTACCATTAACCGCACGTCGACATCAGGTACAAACGAATGTTTTTTTTATGGCATTTGTATCGTAACGAGCGCACATCTTGGCTGCACTGCCAGTAATTGGCATTATGGCTGCCGTAATTAGTATCCCGGAACGTTTCCACTATAACAAATTTTATGTTAAGTGTAAATATAATTATAGCTTCTGCAGTTTCGGGATCGCTACAAATTTTAGTGTCCATTAAAGGTAACATTTGTATCATTGGATGGGGCGACGGAGCCAGGTATCTAGGTGTTTAAATGTAATTACAGAACCATAAATCTTACTGTTTTATTTGATTTGGTCCAAATCGTAAGCCTAAATGTTAAGCGCTGATTTAGGAGCAAATTTCAATATTGCCTGCCCAGCTACTAAAACGATAAGCTGCAATAATCGAAAGTTAGTAACCCAAGCTTGACAAAAATGCAAATGCAATTCCATTTCATAAGTACTCGTAATTACTTACTTTTCCGATCCCGGAGAATCTCTCCTTCTTTTACGAGATTTTCGATATCCACCAAGAGGAAACCCCTAATATTGTATACATTGGCTGGAATTCCGTTTAACAGTGGAGGTCGACACCACTTATTATCCTTATTTTAAATTCAGTTTTAGGTGGTAGCATCTGATTCTGTTTTTTACTTTCAGTAAAATTGCATAGTATGCAAGTAGAATCGTTTTTCCTGGCTAAGCACCTTCTTAGAAATACCTATGGGAACAGTCTTCCTTACTTTTTAGACATCTCTAGGAGTTTTTTATAGATCATTTGATGAATCCTCCTCGAAGTTTATGTTATTTAGTTTATTTACCCTTTCAGTACATTTTTTAATAACACTTCCGCAATATCAGATTAAAAACCTGCAAATTGACATTCAAAACCCTCGTTAATTTTGGGACATAAATCTTGAAACCTCTGTTGTAATCTTGTACATCGTACTAGAACTAGTTAATATGGAAGGTCTACTCGAGGATCATGGAGCACCTTCTGAGGTAACATGGAGGGTTTTCCTGAAGTTCAATAACTGCGTAAGATCCTTTTGAAGGACGCGGGGCAAAAAGTGGGGACACTGAGGCTTCCTTGCGACATATGTACGTCTACCGCGGGTGAGGTAGGATCCTCGTATTAAAATGACAAGTTTTGAAAATGGTCTTAAATTTTCTGAAAATCAATTTGTATTTTCTTAAAATCATTATTCTTTATTTTCTGAGAATCATTTTGCAATTTCATTTTTCTGAACATCATTTTGTACTTTCTCATATTTGTGGAAAAGCTCGATTTTCAGAATGTTCCCAATGAAACCGAGATGTATTTATTATTATATTCACTGAACATCTAACACATGACATGAAAGGCACATCCATAATTTTAAATGGTCGACAGTTTTTTTTTCATTGTTTCGTCTAAAATTTTAATAAATGTTCCAGTTTTAACAGAGAATCCGACATCAGAATTATTATTTTCATTTAATTCCATACAAAAACTGCTTTGTTTTGTATTAGTTAAAAAATACATGTTGTGTGTTGTAAGGATATTCAATATCTCATGAAATAAAGCCTAAAAGTTATTTCCAACTACCTGAGGTGTCCCCGAATACATGGTCAAGAGATTGTAGGCCAATTTTAGAACACCCGGTACATAAGCATTCATAGTATTAAATTATTTCGATTTTTTCTAAAGATAATTTCATAATTTATCTTTATCTAGATAGTACAAGAGCATTTTTATCTTTATTTTATCTAGATTAAGCAAATTCTTATTCGTCTTATCTTTATCTAGATGAAATTTGAAATTATCTATGAACAGCACTGCCTAGGCTCTACATAGATTAGGTGAGTCTAATAGGGTAAGCTTAATCTGGGCGCCAGCGCATTCGGAATATGGGGTAACGAAAGCGATTAGCGGCAGTGGTACTAGGTGAAGTTAAAGCGTTCCCGTTAGCGGTCTTTGAGCGTAAAATCTAAATTTAAATCGGCGTTCAGAAGTAACCGAGCTTATAAAAATAGTTTGAAGTAGTTTTCACGGCGACCGTTAGTGTCCATACAGTTGTTTTTTTGGAAGATCATTATTTGCCCCAGTGGTAGATTTACGTGATGGATTATTTGGAGTATACACTCAGCGTATATTGCGTGCATAAATAGTGACGAGTAGTTATCAAAACGGTACCAGTCACAAGGGATTAAATTGTTAGAAAATTTAACAAAGGCGTATTTACAAATTTTCTTAGGAAAGAAAGCAGTTACGTCTGAATAAACCACTTGTCTGTAATTCCTTAATAAAACTTTACCTAAATATCAAACCAAGTTTTAATAATCCAATTAAGTTGCGTGTATATGCCACTTCACTTTTCGCAAAAAAATTGTACTGACTAACAGAAGAACTAACGGGTTTTAAGTTTGAATCCAAATGAAAACACCTGATAATCACCTCCTAGTGATTATATTCAACCAAGCTAGTCATAAGATACCCAGGTCTTGGACGTCGAAGAAAAAATTGTAAATAGAAATGTTAGTGGTCAAGAATCATGTAAAATATTGGTTTTTTTATGTATGATTATCAAAAGGACCTCCTGAATTTGTTGACCAGTTTAGTACTTGTACATCAACTAGTGTAATGAGTACTAGTTCCTAATATTCTTCAACCCTTGGGCGTGCCAGTGAAGACCAAATGACAGTGTGGGGGAAGTGCCTGAAAATTACAAAAATAAGCTACCGAGCTTGTTTGAATCACTATTGCCACCTTCAAACCTCAGATCCATCTTTCGTAACCAACTGGTCAAGTATTATAATGGCAGTAATAAAGTAATAAATTCCTTTCAATCAAAATATACCCAATATACCTACTGGGAGATTTACAAGCTTTTAAACTCGCAGTTGACATAGACTGGAAATTTGGTTCACAGCTTTAATCGACTATATCATTTCAAGATGGTGCCACTTCAGTAAATACCGGACCAACGCATTATTTATCCATCTGTCATGGTTTTTGACATTTATGTCAATTCTTCTCTAAAAATTTGGTGATTCAAGTGTCCATTCAAAAACTCATATCTCTTAAACAGTTCAAAATAGGTAATAAGTGGTGTTTTCTATAATTGAATCCTTAAAATCTAAAGCATTTTTTGAGTGACATGTGGCAAACCAAGGAAAGACGTGTTAATGGAAGAAAAATAACTGGATGAAGCAGAGTCGTCAGAAGAAAAATTGAAGACTTTGCAGAAGAAGAAAACTGGGTCGATGATAATGTCGATAACTAGACTATGCGAATCTCGAAAAAATGCATTATTTTTCGCAGAAGCCAAAGAAAGACAATTAATGAAGTAATCAACTGCAAACGAAAGGTACGGAATTTGAAATGCTTTCGACACGTTTACAGAACGAATGCAACTGATTAGCCACGGTTAACTGAGCACGGAGCAATAGTTATTTTATAATTGCGGTCTTGCATCATTTAATTGAGTTAATTTGAAGGAAATGTTTATTCAAAACAGAATTCGCCTTGAAGTGTCACGACATTCTAACAACTTTTTACGGGGACCATTCTTTATTGGAATACAATACCGCCAATCGTTGTTATTACAAAAGAAGTTCAAGGTTTCTTCTTACGAAAGAAGACGGTACTTGCTCTTACCTGTCGATTGTTGAATTGGGTAAGTACTGTTTTTGGGTTTGCAAGGAACTAGCGTTTACCGTTGGGTATCCATTTTCTCTTTATATAACTCGAAATGGGGTGCAATGATAATCCACGTTTAAGAACTCAAAACCTTCCCCATGAAATTCAATTTATTTATTTATTTTAATGTCGGAATGGATGAGATTTGATCGGAAAACTAGCGTTTACCTTTGAAAGTACAAAAAAGCTCAAGCAGAGAAATATCCTACCTGTCGATCGACGGCACTGGGTAATAGAAGCTGTTGAATTTGCGCCGGTGGGCTTGGGGGTGGTGGCGGCGGAGGTGGTGGTGAGGACGGCCTGTGCGACAACCCCCCATAAATCTCTCCAGAATCCGACTGTTGCAGTGCCTGCTGCTGCTGCTGCACGTACTGTATTTGGGGTTGCGCCGCTAGCCTAGGTACAAACTGTATGGCTTGCACTTGCTGCGCGTTCACATAAGGGCTCTGGAGGACGGGCTGCGAGATTGGCAGCGCCGTAACCCATTTCACTAAAAGCACACCACACAAAAGCACTGTTCTCATTTTACACCCACAATGACTGGCCTGTTACAGATGATTGATAAAGTAATTACCGGTATTTATATGTTTGTATGCCCTACTCTCGGTTAGAAGAACTTTCATACGTTGAGTATGGAGAAAGGTGTTGTGCAATAAGACAGGGTCGCTGCTCTGTCACCGCATGCAGGCGATAGACACTAGAAATGTGGGAGTCGTGGTTTGATCTACTTATTCCAATTATTAAAAAGTAATAAAGCGAAAGAATGCGCTGCTCGGATTTCGCATTTTATAACATTCCCGCGTATCAGGCAATAAACAATTAATCGTTTTTGCCACGAAACATACTACGGATAATGAGGCGACGTGCGTTATTGGATAAATTTAATAATAGAAAGCGAAATTACCCGCTTAATTCGTTGGAAGCACAGGTATTGGAAAATTCTATTGTTTCAACGTTGAATGGGTACTTCGCCGTTAATTATTATACTACCTATACTTGTTGAGAAATTCAAATCGTTACAATTGGATTTACGGAACACCGTGGCCCAAAGGGAACGCTCGCCGAACGATTTTTAAAATTAACTCATTTTCCTTTGGTAATAAAATTTACGGTGCTTATATAATCGGTACGCTTTTTACGCTACTTCGATTTACGCAACATAGATTGTTCCAACCTTCAAATTTGGTGTTGGTTCCGTTTCAAAAACGTTAAATGCTAATATCACAACGCATTATTTACACCTAGACAGTTTTTTTTTTTTTTTTTCAGCCCTATTGGGATCTATGCCCATTTGGCCGCAGAGAAGTATATACCTATTTCATCTAAACTGTTGGATTAATTCACAGGGTTCACTCGCTTCATCTACACAAAATCTCGATCATACCCGTCTGTCTGTCGGTCTGTGTGTCTATACTCTTATTTCCGGCTGAACGGCGGAATCGATTGGAACCAAATTTGGTATACATATTCTTAGATATAAAATAGAGAGCTATAAAGCTTTTAGGCAGAATCGCGCACGCTAAAGTGTGTCATAGTTATAAACTAAAATATTGCAAAACAGATATCAGAAACGTACCACCCACGGAAGATTCTTTCCATACCCATTTATTAAGAGCAGTTTATCAGTTGATTGTTTGGAAAACGGTGAGTCTTGTTAATCGTGTGCTTACAGATCCGTTCAACTTTGGTTGGTTACGTATGGATCATATGTTAATCCCAACACTTATAACAATTAGCATCCGCCCAAATCCATTACGTGAGAGTGTATATTGTAAATGTAAAAATGTAAGTAATTGTATTGGAAACTGTAGTTGAGCTAAAGTAGGTTTACCATGTATTATTGGTTGTTATTGTAAGGGTCGATGCCGCAGTTTGCATTAAGTCTAGGTGGTACGAAAATACTGTAGCGAACGTTCCATAAATTTCGATAGACATCGAGGCCCCATGAAGGAAGAGTCATCAGCGATAAAGAACGAAAACGGATGTGACGTACCTAACCTAACTACAGTCCAAGAGTACGTAACGTACTCTTTGATACAACAGACTAGGGATGTAACGGAGCTTCGGTTCCGATTCCGTAAGAGCGGAACTTCCGATTGATTTTGCACTTTCGATTCCGATTTCGGTTCCGACAAATTTTAATTGAATGTTATATCGGAGGTTTATGGACAGGCTCGGTGCGGCCACAATCAGTGCGTTCGCGTACAAATACGTTTATACTTGTCGCGCGGAGAAACCTTCCTCATCTCGTGCCTTCTGTTGATTATCTTTTCACTTGTTCTGTTCCTCGAGTATAATTTGCTTCTTTTCGAGTTACTTAATTTGTTCTATTTACATATTAGTATTGTAATCTAAGAGGTGACATGTCTCTTCTTTAAGGTTCCGCTTCCGGTTCCGATTCTGATTTCGGTTCCGATAAACCAAATTTAAAAACTCCGCTTCCGAATTCGGTTCCGATGTAACCACTTCCGTTACATCCCTACAACAAACCATGGGTGCGGGACTGCGACTGAGACGGGCTTATGCGAAAACGTGCGTGTTAATAAAGGCCGGCAACGGTCGATGTTGACCGACAGACAGAGCGAGATGATGGAGATTTTGTGTAAATGTGGTCGCAGACTGATTTATGCGACAGCGGGCGTGTTTAAGCGAGTATCGGCAGTATTGCTATTCTGGCGCGCCATTGTTACATTTTCAAAAATGTTTAACCTGTTATATTTCTTAAACGGTTTGTCTGATTGAAAAAATGTTTTAGTAAAAAAACTACCTTGTTTCATTTTACATATTTGGTCTCGTATATGTATACCTCTATCTCCAATAATAACGAAAATACCTCGCTACTGAAATTTTTATTACACTTCGCGCGCATATCCAGCTTTAACAGTTTACAGAGTGGTTGTTAAAGGCAACATTGACTTTCTTTTTGTTCTGTGAGACGGCGAATATAATGAGCTTTCGAATGGTGCACAAATTCTTGAAAAATATTCATAAATAACTTCGGAAATGCGATGTAAAGGTAAAATTTCTTTTGGGCAGTGCGAAATTTTGTACAAATTATTTTTTTCTAGCTATTTGCAATCCCTGCGACCATCGCGCCCTCTTGATTCAGAATCGGCATCTAATTCTGCACAAGATACGTATTTTTCAAAATGTATATCTTCGAGTGCAGGTGGCAGTATTTTAGAAGCGGCTTTTTGATACCCAGATTCCTGACTATTCGAACAATTTTGGTATTACTGACATAATCGATATAGCCCTATAATTGGACATATCCGCTAATTGTGACACGTTTCAAATCGAATCGATCATAATATCGATAGGTGATAAATTACTTTTCAAGGAAATTAACATTGGCACATCCGCCTATGGATTTGGGGTAGAATTGCTCCACTCTTACCCCGGAGATCGTAAAAGTCAGTTAATCGGTATGGGAGGCGCCAGGGGAGGCGCCGAGTCCAATCGCTCCCCATACAAACCTATCTCCCCTCCCCGCAGTTTCCATTCTCTAAACGACAATCCCGTTTACTTTTCCCCCTTTTCCATGCTGGCAGCCTCACCAAAATGTAAAGTAATTTGTTGATGCTTTTTTTATCATGGATTACCGCCTAATGAACGAATACAGTTCTGGATAAATATTTGGTTAGTGCAGTGGTTCCCTACTTTTTAGAAACTGGGGGGGTTGAGTATTTTGCTGACTCCCCTATGAATTATATCCTTTTGAAATCACAGTAATATCCAGGATACCCATAATTCGGGCACATTAGAAATAAGAACACGCACCACGTTGGGCGTGCAAAAATAATGCAATGCATGAATTCATTAGACCGCTCAAATAACATTGAACTAGCTAGCTCAAATTTGCACAAAATTTGCCCTTGTAACAAAACCCTCATTTTCCTGAACTTTTAATTTTAATAACTAAGACAAATTTTGATCTCAGGATCCAGCGGGGTTCCGAAACGCTGGAAAATCTCAACACTGGCTTAAGAAAAATTTTTAATTCCGGAAATCCGTAATTCAAATGAAACCAATTAACTTTTGCTTGAACTAAAAATGACGATTAACTTGACACTTGACGATTATCGCTTTTCACTCTTTCGAGACGAAATCGCGGCATTACTTATTGGTAGTTTCTTGCCAAAACTGTTGTAAAACTTCCTCGGATTAACAACAAGCGGAAAATCTCTCAGACCTGACTAAATGCAAAATTTTATAATGGGCCAGGGGGCCACGCACTGGTCGCTTGGGTAACTCAAACGCGAATTAATGTAAAATCATCCGGAATAACCCATACTCAATTAATTACTGATTAATTAAGATCTTTTTCAAGATTGCTTCTAGTAATATTTAGTTAACCACTTTTTGTTAAAAGCAAATCATATCGAAATCGAATGTCAAGTGTTGGAACGGCAAAGATGTAGGTATAACCTCATACGATAATATAAGCGCTAATCCGATATTGGAACTTACTCATTTTATAAACTCATATACAGGAAGTTCCTTTAGAAAAATGTTATTTCGACAATATGATGCTCAGTTGCTTTTCCGACAACCAATAATGCCGGATTATATTGGAACACGCTGAATTTCTGTAAATTTGGATGCGGATGGAGCGGTGTTTAAGACTGTTCTTAGTTGAGATAAGGAAGTTTCGGGATTTGATAGGAGTAACTAATTTTATGTAAACATCTACATCGCAAATAGCCGTACAGAAGAATCCTTCTATCAACAAATTTGCGGTATCGCGTGATGCGCAAAGTAGACAATATGGCATCCTATAAAACAGGAAAGCACAAGATTTATGATAATGGAGTCGCTGGGCTTTTAGCCATTAACATTTAAATTCTATTACCTACAATTAGAAACGTCACTTGATAAAAGCTTTTAAAAATATTCGCGCGTTATTTTGGAAACTAACGCCGAACAAAGTTTTGCAGGTGCATTTATGTGGCATCAATTCAAATCACGTTACTCGAAACTGAGACCGTGAAATGTAATGAGGCAACATCTTGTTGAAGCTTAACAATCTCTAAATAACTTTATGAAATATAATGAGATTATGTTTCAGTTTCTATTGAAGTTAATTAGCAATTAGCGTTTCCATGTTTTTAAGTATCGTAACGAATATCATTAAATAAATGGTTCAAGTGCCTTTATTCTTAATAATTTCCGCTCATTTATACAGTAAATTAAAGCAAGTCGTATGTTAAATGTGTGAAAATGCCCAAAGGGCTGGCCAGGTGACTTATTTCAGCAGATTCCGCGAACGTTTTTGACGAATTTCCGATAAAATCTTTTTAGATTACTCACCGGAACCCGGAAACTCGAGTGGGAAAGGCAAATATTCCCCGCGATTCAGAGAACAGCCTCTTGAGTTGCAAACTGAATGCGACATTTGGAACCAATTCAAATAAACGTGTTCAAAAATCTGAGACAGCTAATCCAAGGGTAGTAGCAGTATTTCGAGACAGTTACCTTAGAAGAGCGCTTAGATCTTGGGTCGTGAACCCGAAACGACGAATAAATTGGAAACAAGAGTCTCAGTCTAAAATGCACAATGACAATCCAACGTAAGTTCCAGGTGTGCAATAAAGTGGTGTTATTAGGCTCCAGGTTGCTTGAATTAGTAAGAAAATTTGTTGATCCTTTGTTGAACCATGCACACAAAAACCACCTATACGTTAACGTCGTTCAAACAAAGCGTTTCTTATATTTTTGACAAAAATTGACGAGGAAATTTGCGTACTAGTCCTTCTAACAGCGAAACAGAGCCTTCTTGACCCTTTTATCGGATTTTCTAGAACGGAACGAGATTTACGGGTCGTTCAAGTAACGTACAATAAATAAAGAACGTCAAAGGACTACCTATTCATAAGAAATGCCATAAGATTCCAAAATCGTTGAACTGCAACTGATTGTGCGATGATCCGTTTTGCTGAAGTTGTGCAGTTACCAATGTTCAACACCGAAACGTCACAGAATTAACAAGCGGGGGAGAAAAGATTTCATATTAAACGGGGCCACTTTAGGCAGTAAATTAAGATAAATGGCAATTTTACGAAATTTAAGGGTTTCTTTTATAACATCTTATTGCCTTCTCAAGCTCGTTCATTTCATTTTAGTCGGAAAAGAAAGACTAGTAAATTTGAATTTCTCATTTTAGACTTCGCAACTTTAAATATGTCATCGCAAGAGTGGAAACCTCGACGGGGTCGCAAAGTTCACAAT